TGCAAAAAGAAAATGGTGACAGGTTCTTCACAGTTTTAAAATTCATGTTTAATAAACCCAGATGCTAGCAACAGCGCAGAGACCATAGGGCTTGTTTTGTCCTGGCAGTGTCCAAATTAAACCTGCAAGAAACTTTGTGGAAAGCCGTTGTGTTTTGCTTTAACTGCTCGTTAGCCAGAGGTAACTGGATAACAGTTTTTGACCTGGTACCTGGGCTCTGATACCTGCTTCTACATTTAGGGGTCGAGTATGTATGTCATCTGCCTCTTTTCAGCCCCAAGATTGTGGATTTCTGCCAAAGTCACATTGCTTAACAGGGGGCTTCCCACCGCATGCAGCTGATTTGCAATGGCAGCGTACTGCTCCGTGCTTCTCCTACGTGAGAGATGCTAACGTGAACGTCCTGTTACCAACAAACAGAAAAGCCTGGCTCCCTGCCATTTACCTCCCTTGCTCCAGGAGGATTATATACATTCAAACAGGGCTGTCCCAATATGCTATAGCTAGACCACTGCCAAAACTCAGCGAGGGTGAAGTCAAGGTGCTGCTTGAGCCAGTTCTTCTGAGAAAAGGTCACATCAGCGCAGGCTATCACACGCCTGCCCCAGTATCGATAATACTGTCGGAGCGATAGGAGCAAGCACGTTTGCTGGCACGGGGAATGCAAGCAGGCAGCGTTTCAGGGCGAGACGCTCGAGGTTTGGGTGTGGGCTCACCAGGGTGGAAAACAAGGAAATTCCATCTCACTCCCCCTGATGACAAACTGCATAAGCCCAACTCTGTGAACTCTCCAAGACCCTCCTGGTGGAAGAAAGAAGTTAAGAAGGCATGCAAAAGCAACACAGATGCCACTAGTGCTGGCTGTCTCATACGGCCGCGGTATCAGGCAATAGGATCCTTGTTCTCTCAGCAGTTATGCCTAAAATAAAGCTGGAGGGTGCTCCAAAGTGGCGCAGCAGACAGACTTGCCTTCACTGCAGATAGACTTGCCAGCACAGCCAGAGGGCCTGTCCCTGAACGTACAGGCTCTGACACCCAAATTTACCCCAGGCTTAATATGGCACCAGGAGGAACTGGGGGACACGGTCCGGAGCCTGTCCAGACAGCAGCTTGCAGAGGGAAAGGTACTGAGCTTTTAGGCTGCTCCCAGCCCATCAGCTCCTATGCAGAGAGAGCCTGAGCGTGAAAACGGCCTCCCCCAGCAACGGTTGCAGGTAATGTCCTGACACTGTGTAACAGGATTTGAGCTCTTAGGAGGAAAAAAGCTGTAGCACGTTGCTCTTTAAGGGCACGCTTCATTCGCTCGGATCAGGAGACGTACGCCACGGCCTGGGGCAGCATCTGCTCCAGACAGAGCGGGCTCTGTTTCAAGCCGCTGGGGAGGAAGATTTTCCTGCCGCCTCCGAGCGGCAGCGTCCCTGGTGCGACGTCAAACTACTCGCCTTCGCCGAACGACCACGGAGCAAGTCAAGGACACGGGGACGCAGCGGGCAGCGAGCCTCCGGGCTGCTTTTTCTGCCAAACCGATCGCTAGCGCGCAGCGCTCGGCGCAGCCCGCCGCCGAGCATGCCACGCGGCCGCACGGCCAGTGGGTAACTCATGACTTTATAAGGTACTTT